TACGACAAAACCACCCACTGCTGGAAATCAGTATAAAACAGCATCTTGTAAAAGGTATAATGAAAAATCTGATGGGTATTTTGATCTGAAACTTTATATACACATTCTAGAGACGCAAAAGACTTGTATTAAATCTGAAAAAAGGGGTAACCTAGGTGCCCTTTAAATCTAAAAAAAAATCACAAAACAAATTGTGAAAAACCAGGGGGTCTGTATATGGCCTCTTCGTTCTAGAAAAAACACATAAACAAGCATATTTTGCAGCAAATTTGGCAGACCTGGTTTTAAAACTCTTAAATGCATACTTATATAGAACTATATTTTAGAACACGAGTGTTATTTTATTTAACTTTTCTGATAATTTAAGGATAAAATATGCGGGACAAATGGACCTACCAGTGGCACTTTTGTTATTTTTTATTACTATACTTTTGCTTATCTGAAGCATAAAACAAAGTCTTTCACCACTTCGATGAACACAATTTTTTTTTTGTTTGTGTCAAAACAACCCGAGGGATGGATAAGTGAATAAAAATAGTGATCAGCAGCTATTTACTAAAAGTCTAAAATGATTCTACATTTCCAGCTTTAAATAATATCTTACAGATTTAACACATCTTACATTTTTCAGTTAAACTTGATGTTACCCGTTACAAAAATCATGTTAACTGCTGTTAAAATCTTTTAGATATTTCTTTAATACTGCAAATGCACAATATCAATCACTACTGTAGATGCCAGCACTTTTTGCCTAGCACCTGCGATGAACAAGCATGGTGACATTTGCAACCATGCCACTTTTAGTTTTACACCTCTCATGCTGCGAGAACTGGCTGACACTTGCTAACATTTGATATTAATCAGGCTGGTTGGAATAAGTCTCTTCCACCCACAAAAATTTAGCTGAAGTGCTCTCGAGCCACAACCCCAAGTCAGTTAAATGCCATATAAAACTTCTTCTGTTTCAGAAAAAAAAATATAAAGATCTGAATTATTCATAATCCTCCAAACACCTCAGAAGAGCCAGGGTGACTCCATCAAAGGTATCTGGGTACCAAAGTCCCAATGGGTATTTCTCAGCCCGTCTGATCTTTCCAGCAGATGGAAGAACACTGCATTAAAGATATTCAATTCAACAGCAACATCAAAAAGTATTTATATACAGAATGTGGATGACTGGGGTATTTTTTTACTCAAATAGCTGAAGCTCAAATTATAGTACAATTGTCTTCAACTGAAACATATTGGAATGTGTTTTAGAATGCTGCAAATGGTAACTCTAGATATCGATGTTATTAAAAGGAAAGATTTAGAACAATAAATAATAAATAAAACAAAAGCTCTGTTATTCTGCCCTTTTAAGTGGAGCTAGCATGTTTTTTAATGAATTTACACTGGTATACTGTATGTTTTTTGCTCACTGATTAAAAGGTATTACAGATTAGAAATGCTTTTCCTAAAGCCAGAACCTTGGTGGTTGGTACAAGGTCATCTGTTCTAGCACAAATGGATACATTTCAGGCAGAAATAAAAAAATAAATAAAATAAAAAAAACATAAATGCTTTTTGATAGTTTACATCTAAGTAAAAGAAAAAAGAGATAAAGTATAAAAGAATATAAAAGTATAAAAGGCCAAGGTTCAATGCATTCTCTACAGTCATTGTCAGATGGAAGCCTTGTATGACAATATATTTCAAATATATTGTCCATATTTCAATGTCAATGTTCTTTCCTTATTTTATTTTAATACAGTAAATCATCATGTCAATTGTCACTCTAAATGTCTTCATGAGGATTTTAGAAATACTTAGACACCGAGTATGTTTCCATGGACACCAATTATCAGATTTTATTATAATTAAGACATTACTCTAATTAAGAGTCTACCATGTAAAAAGCGAGTTTTGATGACCTTAATCTAACCAAAGTCATTATAGAAATAAACAGAAATCAGATTAAAACATGTGGAGTATGCCGATTTTAGTTGCATTATTGAAGTGCCGTACAGACATGTAAACACCTTAATCAACGCTTAATTTGTGAATCGCGAGGTCCCTGAACATATTAGGGTAACAGATCTGGCATGCTATCTGAGGATGTAGAGGTGTCGTGCAGGAAAGTGGAGAGTGGGGTGTTGAGGGCAGGGTTGTCGCAGACGTAAGTTAATAGACAGGGTGGGGGTTTATTGTCGTAGACTAAAGTGAACAGGGTTGGGGAGTCGGGGAACAAAGTGAAAGTGAACAGCGGATGGAGAAGGAGAGCAGGTGAGGAGGGGGATAGGTGAAATGAAGTGCCATTAAGACAAATTAACCCCTGACCTTAATCAAACTATTCCCGTCATAGAGGATTTTCACCACATTTTGTCACAGGATAGTCTACACACACTATGACCCATGTCATTGAACAATTCTTCTACCACTTGTTTAAATTACGGTTGGCAACACAATGTGGCGTCTCTCTGAACACTGTAACAGCTAAAAAGATTATTCGAAGCTATATCATGCATATTAATGAAGTTAAATCTCGTTCACAATAGAGCGCGCTGATTGGTTCGAACCGAGTCTTCCTCATGAATTAATAAACAGATGTGCTGAAAACTCAATGACGTCACTTTGTATTGGCCGCTACAGACAGCCAATCATCACAACGGAATTAGCATAATGATCTACGCCGTAACAGTTTCAAAATTTAATTTCAAACCAGAAGAACAAATTTGCTTGAAACAACGCAAAAACAAACAAATTTAACTTTTTAGTGAAATATATGTGCCCTAATAGTGTTTTTAGCAATGTGGCACATATAAATGACTGCCAACATCTCAAAAAGAGTGTTTTGGTGTTAAAAATGCAAGTGTTATCGAACCCTTCAAAAAGTCATTCAAAGAAACGCCTCCTGAACACATGAATGTGCACTAGAAAACATTACAACAATATAGCATGCCAAATTCAACAGTGAGAAAACAGTACAGGTAGTGTTTGCAATACCAAACTTCAAAAAAGAGCTAGTTGATGTCTGCCTGCCATTCTCTGTCTGAACAACATTCGTAGATGTGCTGATGACTTTATCCTTTCTATGCAAACAGGGTTCTCTCAGCTATGCAATTACATCTTTTGCCAAGTAAGACAGCTTAGTATTATTCAGATCAAACATATTGATTAGATAAACTTGACCTACAATTACATGTTCTATTGAATAATAAAATGCATATAAATACATTTGGATTGCTTTATTTATTGATTGTTATAAGGATGTGAAGAGACTTTTAACAAGCATAACAAAAAAAATTCTGAAGACAATCACCTATCCCACATTTAAGGGTGCATTTAAAGGTATTAAATTGCACCTTTTATTGCCCCAGTGACAAACCATATCCAAAAGCAGTTTTTGCAATTTCTTGACTTTCTATACTTTGTATCATTATAGCAGCGCCTACTTTAGAAATATATGTAACCCTGAACTACAAAACCAGTGTTCATTCGCACAGGTATATTATTAGCAATAGGCAAAACAGCATTATATGGATCAAATAGTCGATTATGCCAAAATATAAAGTATTAGGTAAATATTAAGGCCCAATCCCAATAATACCCCTTACCCCTTCATGTGAACTCACGAAATGAGGGATAGGGGTGTCCCAATTCTCTTAAGCTTGAAGGTGTAGAGCTAAGGGGAATGGCTAGATAGCCCTTGAAATTGAATTTTCAGGACCACACTGGAAACCAAGGGGTACTGTTTTTTTATGCTAAAATAAATACCACTAATATCCAATATCCAATAACTTCTGTATAGTAGTCCCACAATGAACTTTCACATCTGACGCTCGAATATCCTGTCAGAAAAGTCTATGGTTGTGAATGACCTTTTTACAGTGTCTGTTATAACGTTAACGTTGTTTTGTGTGCTTATATAGATGAATATGGCCACGGTGTAAATGCACAGTACAGTTACAAGCTTATTGCCAAATTATATCGTTATGATAACATAATATTATTGCCTTCTGTGATTTCCTGAAGATAAATACCAAAAAAATAATAATAATAATGTAACTAGAATGACTATAGCAGTCGCCGTTTTCATTTGAAGCAAGAGATAGTGATGATGTGTGCAGGTAATGTAGTAGTTTCCCATTTATTAGGGGTAAATTTTGGAGCCTTTCCCCTTCACACTCTGTTTTAAGAACCAACAGGAAAGGAAAGGCGTAGGCCCTTTGCTCCAGGGAACTGGCCACTGGCATAAAAAAACAGATTTATTAAAGTAGAACTAAGATTATAATGTAGAATAGAGACTAATTAGTTAGTTAATTATTTAGGTTTAATTAGTGTAAGTATCAGTGTGATACACTTGATAAGAGATAATCTTGAACATTTTAAAATATAATAAGCAAATTATAAGCAAATTTTTTAAATATGCATACGCTAATTTGAAAAGAAGAAATTATCTAAAAATGATCTAAAACTTGGTTCTGTAAAAGAACAACTTTCTCTATCAGTCGGAAAAACATCTTAACACTTTTGCAATGAAAACACTGATGCACTGTGTGATCGCTGTAGCACTTATCGGAGCAAGCGGAGCAACAAATCATCCGATCCATGTGGTTTGGCTTATAGGTTTATTTTACATGTAGAGGTCTGTGATGTCTAGTGCCTGTAAAAAGTGTCCCCTCTATTCAAAATATGTATCGCAATGCATTCTACATTTCAACCGGCTTGAATCGTCACATATTTGAATTGATTTTTAACCGGCTCATGCTGAATCGTTACATCCCTAGTAACATACATTGCTAAGCAGTTCATTTAGTGTTTTTACCCTCACATTCAAGATATTAAACTGTTGTATCTCTGACAAATATTGTTATATTCTAACGAAGTATACATCAATAAAAAATATTGATTCAACTTTCAGTTGTTAATGATGTTAATATCCAAATTTCCAAAAATTGACATGTATGCCTTTTTTGTGGTCCAGGATTACATACCGAATATAAATAATTTACACTTACCACATTAAGTTTGAGCTCCATGTTGAGGACACCTCCGCTATCCAGTACAGGCATCAGGTTGATGGCAAATATGGCTGCCCGGTCCGGAGGAATTGAAATGTTGGGTCCAAAGAAGATGTAGAAATGAACTGAAAATGTGTCCAGTTCATTGCGCAGCGTTGGCCGGATTGGCCAGCATTTATTTGTGTCGGCTGTTGGTGCTAAATAAGTGATGCTGTCTTCAGCAGCTAATAGAGATGCTTGATCCGAAGCGTTCTGGGGCACGTTAGGCAGGCTGGCAGCAGGCAGGGTCTCTGACAGAGAGAAACCCATCGCAGTGCCAAATGACTGGGGCATGTTCATTGCTGAGGAGCCTTTGGAGACAGTTGGCTTGGAACAGTCTGCAGAGAAAAGATCAAAGGCGATGGTTAAAAATTGGGACGGCTAATGTTTTTTTTTTTTCTGCTGAGAAACTTGAAGGTGAAGCTAGTTCCAGGAGATGTGAAATAAGAATGAAATAAAGATTTCTTGAACTCTGACGAATCTCTTGAATGAAGCTGACAGCTCAAACTCTCCACTCAGGTTACTGCGAGGCTAAAAGCATCTTCCTGTCATTCCCATCTCTTTGTGCTAGATCTAACTAGCATTTCAGCAGAGACACACTTTTTTCCTTTTTTCATTTTTATGCATATGCTTAGATGTCTGTGGTGGGATGACAGACAAAATGACTGCTGAAAGTGTCTATGCAGTCTGATCTAAATGATCTGAGGGGGTTGTATGTTGTGTTTTATGTAGGACCACAGAGCAGCCGAGGGAATGTCCATTTCATCATATTCCCGTTTGGAGGCCTCTCACGTCTATGAAACTTTAAAGTCAGACAAAAACACTTCAAACCTTTGTTTTCGGAGTTTGAAGTCTTCATTCGAAATGTGACAGATTTTTTTTTTTGCATAACAAAAAACTGTGTCCCAAAATGCATGAAAAACGAGGTCATGGTTGCTCTTAACATCTTTTAATTGCGGGCTTTGTTGTAACAATACTTTGCAAATTAGGTGGGATAAAGAAACACATTTTGATTAACTGTAAATTAGCAAAACAATGCAGCGGAATTGAGATTACTAATTGGCACTGATGAGGACAATAAGAAATTCTCCACACATCTCGGTGTTTCCTGATTGCCTCAGGGTGTGAACGTTCCGTTATGCTACTGAAGACTCTAGAGTCTTACGGTGTGTTTTCACTACAGAATCAAATCTGATCAGTGCCACTGCCAACACCACAACGCCACTGCATTGGGATGCATCAAATTTAGGGCAGATCTCATGGTTGCAGATTAACCAGGTGAAAGACAACATGCTTAAACATTCATCACATATGCATAGTTTAATGCCCTTTTTGAAGAAATGATTACAAATAAGCACAAGGCAGTTACATGGTCTTGCAGTGGGAGAAAGTTTTATTACTATATGTTTATGTAAACTGAAAGAGTGAAGGATTTCAGCTCAGTTATCCACCAGGCTTTGTTCCCCACAGCTTTAGTAGCCCTCCCTCTTCTTTTCAGACTTTTTTTATTATGTCTAAACCTTGATTTTGTGAGAAATGCTGAGAATGTTTTCGACAGTTAAAGCGAAAAAGCTCCAAATACAATCCAGATGAAAGAGTTCACCACTCTCAAAAGCAGATTATTAATATTAATTAGTGTTTTAGTTTTAGATTAGTTAATATTAGTTATTAATATTAGATTATTATTATTAATAGTGCTGGTGGGAGGGGAAATTAGATGTCGGTCATTGAAGTGCCCTTGTATCTGGATTCAGGTGACAACTATTTTATGTAACATTGTAGAAAAACTAAATAAATATTGTAATTTAATACACCTTACTAATGATTTTTGAATGATTTTTTTTTTTCAATTTTATGTATATATTATATTTATCTGCTTTGATTCATATATATATATATATATATATATATATATATGGATGGATGGATGGATGGATGGACGGACGGACGGACGGACGGACGGACGGACGGACGGACGGACGGACGGACGGACGGACGGACGGACGGACGGACGGACGGACGGACGGACGGACGGACGGACGGACGGACGGACGGACGGACGGACGGACGGACGGACAGACAGACAGACAGACAGACAGACAGACAGACAGACAGACAGACAGACAGATAGATAGATAGATAGATAGATAGATAGATAGATAGATAGATTTATTGATAGATTTATTGATAGATTTATTATTATTATTATCTTATTATTAAAGATGCATTAAATTGAAAAAAGAGACAATAAAAATGTTTATAATATTGCAGAATATTTCTATATGAAATTAATCCCGTTCTTTACATCTTTTCTCGAAAAATACCTCATGATTTCTTCAAAAACATCAAGCAGCACAATTGTTTCTACTTTTGATATTAGTAAGAAACTTGAATGGCATCTGAATAATCATGTGCTACCCAATATTGGAATAATGACTGCTGAAAATTCAGCGCTGCATTTCAGGGATAAATTACTATTTAAAATGTGCATATTTAAATAGAAAACTGATTAATGTTAAATTGCTATATGTTTGTTTTTTACTATATTTTACTGCATCAGTGTTTGTATAAATAAATAATAATAACAAAACATTTAAACAGCATTGTCTACACACTATAAAATAAACCCTTTTATGTGGCTGGAGGGTGAAATTAGGAAAAACATCTCAACAAAACCTGGCACGCCTGAGACTTGATTAGTACGCAAATCCTGCAGTGTTTATAAGCCCTCACCGCCTGATCAAATCAACCCTTTTTGCTCCTCTGTAATTACATCTATTTTGCCATGAAATGTCATTATAATTCTTGCTGACAAAAGCAATGATGGACAAAAGATCACAATTAGCGGGCTGAGGACATCTTTGAGGGCTCGCACTTGAACATGCCGTCTGGTTCAGAATCAGGATGTGTCACCATGTGCTCTATTGAGCACCTGTTTGGCCCTTCAGCTGAAAGTTTGCTGTATACGTACAGCTCAGGCAGACAAAATGACAAGTTAGAGCTGCATTTAGAAGCCCCCAACTCGACTTGCTGTTGTCTATATAGACATAGATGTGGAACTATATAAAGAGAAAGTGTCAGAGAATTTTTTGACAAGAGACGGTTACTTAGCAACAAAACATCCAACTTCCTGTCAAAGACTTTCACATGCAATATACAACTTTAGGCATTTTTGCATATTTCTGAAAGCAACTCTACATTGTTCTGTATTTCATGAAACTTTCATGAAATATGCATTGTGATGAATCTGCAGGAGATTCATACCATTCAAACTGGATGCTATATGGCATGAAAATCTCAATATTTTTTTTTTTTTACCATTTTAAGGACAAAATATGACAACTTTTTTATACAAGTTTTACATTTAGAAAGTTTTGTATGCTCTTTTGATCAAAATTATAGTAATATTAGCACATATTACAATAACTATTGACATTTTAAAGACTTATGTAGTGAAAATATCTTTTAATAATGTTTACATGTGTGTGTATATATATATATATATATATATATATATATATATATATATATATATATATATATATATATATATATATATATATATATATATATATATATATATATATATATATATATATATATATATATATCCTTAATGACAGACCACATGCAAATTAATCAGTTAACACTAATTCTGACCATTTTCTCCTTAAAATTGCAGTAGATGATTGTCTTCAGAAACATGTTTTTTTGTGCTGGCTGAAAGTCTCTTCACATTCCAATAGTAATGATTAAAGTGAATGAATTGAATGCATTTATAATTATTTTTATATTCTGGGTAAGGCATAAGACTAACAAATGTTTTGTCACAATGTTTACAAAAACAATTCCCATAATTCTGATAAGTGGGCCAAACTGTCTGTCAACAAATGTAGATTTCTACATCAGCTGTTCACGCAGATTTCACGCAGACGTTTGTGCACACCGCACGTTCACAAGCACACGAGAGCGAAAATGACAGCGTTAAAATCAAATGCTGAATCAAAACTTTAAAATCCTGACTCAATATTCCAGTTACTTTTGCACACTGAAGGAAGGATGACACCATGGCTGAAGTATTTCTTTTAGACAGCTAATGTTATGTTTTAAATTTATTTTAGTCACGCAAAGCTTATGTAGATTGAGTTGTCATGAATGAGTTATATGCACAGAAGTTTTGTTCAGCCACTGAAATCTTCCGGTGAAATATTTATGTGACTATTTTTAATTTCATAAGGGACCTTAAAAAAAAGTTTAACAAAACATCAGTAAATAGCACTATTCTATATTCTATAGCGCTTTTACAATGTAGATTGTGTCAAAGCAGCTTCACATAAATGGTCATAGTAACTGGAACAGTGTGGTTCAGGTTTTAGTGTTTAAGTTCAGTACAGTTCAGTTTAGCTCAGTTCAGTGTAATTTAATCATTAATGAGAGTTCAAACACTGAAGAGCAAATTCAACGATGCGTAGCTCAACCAATCCTGAACCATGCAAGCCAGTGGCAACAGCGGACAGGGGAAAAAAACTTCACCTGATGGGAGTGAAGAAAAAAACCTAGAGAGAGAAAAAAAATCTAGAGAGAGAAAAAAAACCTAGAGAGATGTAATGTAATATCGAAAGTCATTTTTTGACTATTAATTAGCATTTCTAAGCATGTAATTTAGACAACTTTAAAGGTGATTTTATCAAGAGTTTGATTTTTTTGAATGCTCAGAATCCTGAATATCAAATAGTTGAATCTCTGCCAAATCCTATCCTAGCAACTACATCAATAGAATTATTTTAATTCCTCTATTTATTTAATAAAATGATACTTATGACTGGTTTTGTAATTGAGGGTCACAGATCATTACCTTCATTGGTCATTGGGTTGCTAAGCAATGTAGTCAATCATATATCTTTTGACTTGAATGCACAGCCAATTGGAGATGTTTATGCAAGTAAGAATTCAGTCAATGCTCAGAACATCTCAGTTTGGTTGTCAAAGATGGAGTTTAAATGATCAAATTAGTGTCTCCTGGGGGATTTAATATATTTAAAAATGCTATTTAGTTCCTGTGATGTTAAAGATGGTTTCATAACACCATCACTCTAGTTTTCAGTCTCACACGATCCTTCAGAAATCATTCTGATGTGTGGTAGAATTTTTTTAAACATTATAAATGTCTACAGTGTACTGTTACCTTTGATCAATGTAATCAATCCTTATATTATTAATTAATCCATTAACAGGCTGACCTTGAATTTCTGAATGGTAAATAAGAAATGACACAAAGGAAGGAGAAAAAAAATATTCGTAAAGGAAAGCAAAATCACTAAAATATCTTCCATTCACC